GCAGGGCCGGCACCTGATGTGTCGGGAGCAGATCTGGGGTAACGGGGAGAAATTACCCAGGTAACGTGAACTGGGCAAGACGATAAATCCAGCAGGGCTGGCTCACCTGTCACCTGCAGCTCCCGGCTGCGTCTCTCCAGGGGGGTCTGTAGGGCGACGTGTCCCACCCGGCAGACGTACTCGGCCCCCTGGTCTCTCTGCACCGAGGGGGTGAAGCTGAGTCTCGTCTCCTGCTGGAAGCTTTTCCCGTCCTGTGTGCGGGGAGCTCCGGGCTCGATTCTGTACTCGGCAGAGCCCTGCAGGGGAACAGCAGCCCCGGCCCCCCGGCCCCTCCTGAGCCAGGTCACACTCAGCGCCTCGGGGAAATGCCCCGTCATGCGGCAGCTCAGGGTGATTTCCTCCCCCGCTGTCACTGACTGGGGTTGGGAGATTTCCGACACCTCCGGGGGCCGCAGGAGACCTGGGGAATGAAACACCCAGAGACAGTTACAGGCCCCGTAAGGGGGAGTAGGGTCCATCAGTGATTCCTGCGCATCCCCCATCTGACCCCAGGGAGCCCCCTCACCTGTGTCCCCAGCTCTGATCTCTCTCTTGATCGAAGGCCCTTCGGGGCGTTGCTGAACGAACACTAGGATGTTGCGCTCTGGACGGTTCAGGCTCTGGCTGGGGATTCTCCAGACGCTGGTAGCGCTGAACGTGAGATCCTGGTTCTCACTGATTTCCGGTGTCTCGTCTCTCCCGCTCTGTGCCCTGTCACAGCGCCACTGGATCCCGTGAATCCCCCTGGGGTAAAAGTTCTGGATCTGGACGGCAAACGGCACCTCCTCCGGGGGCTCCCAGTGCGGTAACACCTGGATCCCGGACACCTGTGCATGGGCTGAGCAGACAGCAGGAGCGTCAGTGACAGGGGCAGTCGGAGGCCAGGGGCTCCATGTGGCTCTGTGACACCCCGTCCGTCTCAGCCCCGCTCCCCACGGCCGGCGCGTCGTCCCAGCGGGAATTATTTCCCCAGCTTGGAGCGAGCTCCCCCCTGCCTGACCTCCCCCGGCCGAACACCAGGCCCTGAGCGTGGGGCTCTGTGACCCCCTCAGAGCTGGGGTGACTCCCCGCTGCCCAGGAGGGGCGGGGAGCCGGACGTGGGCTCGTTCCCACTGGGAGTCTCAGGACTGTGCGGGGCCTGGCCCAGCCGTGGGGGGCAAGGGGAGAGAACAAGGAGCCACCCCCCATCCCATCCCCCACCCCAGTGAGAGCCCCAGAGACAGCTGCAGCCCCTTCACTTGCGGGAGCCTGGGGCTGCAGCCCCCCAGAGGGAGCGGGGTGAGGTGGGGCTGCCCCCCGAGGGTACATGGCCCCGGCTGGCAGGGAGAGGGGAGGGGCTGCACCATCCCCAGGGGTGAGGGACTGAGCATCCAGCCCCTGCACTCACTGGGGCTCCAGCGTGCGGGGCACGTGGGGGGTCAGCGAGGGGCTGATGGGGGTAGAACGGCTCCGATTTCCCGGGCTGTGTTCGGCTGTTTCCCTTCACCCCCGGAATGGACCAGACGCTCCAGTGACCAGAGATTTCAGACAGAGACACTGACCTGTCACCTGCAGCTCCCGGCTGCGTCTCTCCAGGGGGGTCTGTAGGGCGATGTGTCCCACTCGGCAGACGTACTCTGCCCCCTGGTCTCTCTGCACCGAGGGGGTGAAGCTGAGTCTCGTCTCCTGCTGGAAGCTTTTCCCGTCCTGTGTGCGGGGAGCTCCGGGCTCAATTCTGTACTCGGCAGAGCCCTGCAGGGGAACAGCAGCCCCGGCCCCCCGACCCCTCCTGAGCCAGGTCACACTCAGCGCCCTGGGGAAATGCCCCATCATGCGGCAGCTCAGGGTGATTTCCTCCCCCGCCGTCACTGACTGGGGTTGGGAGATTTCCGACACCTCCGGGGGCCGCAGGAGACCTGGGGAATGAAACATCCAGAGACAGTTAGAGGCCCCGCAAGGGGGAGACGGGGCCTGGCGGGGGCTGTTCCCCCCTCACTTCAGACAGGAGATCTGACCCCTCAGTGGGGCTGTGTGACGAAGTGGGGGATTTTCTTGTTTTCTGTGGGGTTTCAATGGTTTGCATGCGGAGGGGGTGGGACTGTTTCCCTGGGCGTTACTGGTTTAACGAGGTGAGGGGAGAGGGAATGTGTTTTGCAGAGGACCGGAGAGAGAACTTGGGACCCCAGCCGATGGCCTAGAGGATGGACACCCCAGCGACCAGTGACCTGGCGACCCAGAGACCCAGCTGAGGAGACGCAGCCGGTTCTGGCCAGTGGGAGGACAATGGGCTGCAGAGTGAGGACCCAGTGACTGAACCAGCCGGGCAGAAGCGAGGAGCGGAGGCCCCTGTTTACGGCCCTGTTTACCTGGAGAGAAGACAATGGACAGAGGTGGGGCCGGGGATCTCAGATGCCCAGCTGGGAGCAGGGGGGCTCGGGGCTGGAGAGGGGGAGCAGGCAGAGCCCACCTGGATGCAGAGAGACTGGGATGTGCTGGGCTGAGGGAGGCCAGGCCTGATGCCCTGAGAGTTTCCTGTGCTGTGTTCAACTCTCAATAAACCCTCCTGTGTTACGCTGGCTGAGAGTCACTCTGGTCTAGAGAACAGGGGGCATCAACCCCTTCGGGGAGTGGAGGCCTGGGGGGTCCAGAGCGAGGGGACTCACGGCGAGAGACAGACGTGCTAAGGCTCAGAGAGGTGCGGCTCCAGGAGGTGGAGGGGCCTGACCCCGAGAGAGAGTGGACCCCCGAGAAGGGCTGTCGCACTGAAAGGGGCACCCACCCACAGACCGCACGGGACAAATGTGGGCACGATCTGTGAGTCCGTGACAGGCTGTTACCCCATAAAATCACCCCTGTGTGTGACACTGTTACACCCTGACCCATTGGCGTCTCCAGCCGAAAAGGGGGACGAGGAATATTAGCTCCCAAAGGTCCTTCATCCCTCAGGGACCCCGCGGGGGGCAGCGATTCCTGCTCATTCCCCGTCCGACCCCAGGGAGTCCCCCCCTCACCTGTGTCCCTGGCTCTGATCTCTCTCTCGATCGGGGGCTCTCGGGGGCTTTGCTGAACGGACACGGTGACTATAAATTCCGGACGGGTGATTTGGTCACTGGGGATTCTCCAGACGCTGGTAGCACTGAACGTGAGATCCGGGTTCTGGCTGATTTCTGGGGTCTCGTCTCTCCCGCTCTCTGCCCTGTCCCAGCTCCACTGGATCCGGTGAATCTCCCTGGGGTAAAAGTTCTGGATCTGGACGGCAAATGGCACCTCGTCCCGGGGCTCCCAGTGCGGTAACACCTGGATCCCGGACACCTGCGGCCGGGCTGGGGGTGGGCAGACAGCAGGAGTGTCAGTGAGAGCAGGGGCTGGGGAGCTGAGGGGATTCACCCCACACTGGGATCCCATAGGGGGAAATCCCGTCCCTGTCACTGTGTAATTCACAATCCCGTCTCAGCTTGTTCTCCTGCTTCCCATCCCCCAGGGGACCAGAGACCGGGCAGCGGAGGGGGTGGGGATCTCAGATCTCTGCTTGTACCTCTCACAGCCTCCATCCCCCTCCCATCCCAGTCCCCATCACCGAGGGGAGACTGGGGATGGAATCCGGCCCAGGAACCTCCCTCCCTGCACCCTGGCTCGGCAGGGCAGGGGGGGGCAGGTAGAGACCTGAAATCAGAGCAACATCCCACCCCAGACTGGCTCCCCCAGCCCTCACCGGCGACGTCCTCAGCGAGCAGGGAGCAGCCCCAGGCCCATGAGCCCCCGGAGACCGAACTCCTCTTGCCCGGTGTCTCCTCTCGCCCTCCAGGCCCAGCAACCCTGCAGGCAGGACGGGATCCCCCCCCGGCCATGAGGGGGAACTCAGCCCTGGGGACACTCACCCCACGGCCGGATCTCCCCGGACTCTCGCTGCTCTCGGATCCCGCAGGCCTCGTGGTGGAAGCTGCACCTGACCCGCGCCCCGTCGTCCTGCACCGT